TTTGGGGGGGAACTGAATATATTTTTATTTCTTTTCCTCTACTTGCCCTAGATTTAAGTTATTCTTCCTTCTTTAGTTTCCTAAGAGAGCAGCTTAGATTATTCACTATAGCTTTCTTTTGTTCTAATATACACACATAATGCTATAAATTTCCCTCTAAGTACTGCTTTTACTTCCATAAGTTTTAATAAGCTGTATGTTTATTTTCATTTAATTCAAAACATTTAAAAATTCCTATCAAGACTTTGTTGACCCTTGAATTACTTAAAAGTGTTGTTTATTCCCCAATTACTTGAGGGACCACCAAGTGTTCTTATTATGATTCTTAGTTTAATTCCACTGTGGCCTGAAAACTGACTCTGTAAGATTGCGAGTCTTTAATTTGCTAAGGTGTGTTTCACGAGCCAGAATGTGGTCTATCTTGGTAAATGTTCCAAGTGAGCTTGAGGAAAATGTGTACTCTGCTGGTGGTGGATGGAGTGTTCAGTAAATGTCAATTAGATCGAGTTGATTAATAGTGCTGCTCAGGTCAACTTCATCCTTACTGATTTTCTGCCTGCTCGACCCATCAATTACTGGCAAGGAGATGTGGAAGTCTCCAACTGCTAGAGTGGGTTTGTCTCTCTTTTTAGCTCTGCCGGTTTTGCCTCATTTTGATGATCTGTTGTTAGATGCATCTAATGTTATGTATTCTTAGAGAACGGACGCATTTATCATTATATATGGCCCTCTTTCTCCACAGAATTCTACTTGTTCTGATGTCTGCTTTGTTTGAAATTAATACAGCTACTTCGGCTTTCTTTTGATTAGTGTTAGCATGATTCATCTTTCTCCAGCCCTTTACTTTTACTCTTCAGAGTCTTTATATGTAAAGTGGATTTCTTATAGAAAGCATATAGTAATTTCCCTAGAGTTTAAAATGTAGATCCATCTAAGTCCATCTTCAAATAATACTATACCACTTCACAGGTAGTGAAGGTAACTTATGACAAACTATTTTCAATTCCTCCCTCCCAAGCCTTGTGACATTACTGTCATTCATTTCACTTATCCATATGCTACAACCACCAAATACATTGTTACTATTATTACTTTAAACAGGCATCTCTTAGAGACCAGGGCAGGGTCTTTAGATTTGTTTCCAACGCCAGCAGCCCTGTTTTAGAGAGGACAGTAAGATGTCAGCTCCCTCAAGTAGAAAGTTATTCCTAATCCTCTGAGAAGCATGACTTAATTAAACATCTTTAAAGCAGTTAGGATGTATAGCCCCGTGCTGGGCACCCTGAGCCATGAGGTAACCAAAGAACTCAGACGTCAGCCACTCTGACCCCATCTTACAGATGAGGAAACTGTGGCCCACTGTGGGGAAGTGGTCCGCCACAGGGCTATTCTGGAGGAAAAAGAAGCTACAGACAGGCAGACCTTAGACTGAGGCCTGTACTGAAGGAAGGACAAAAATGGAGCAAGAAAAGACATTATTATCTTAGTCCAACAAAAACAGAATAGCAATAGATTGCAGAAAGGTACATTTCACTAACTGAGTTTGACAGCTCTGCAGTGGTTTCATAAAAGGAGGTCCCCAATTCTTAAGAGACGCACGCTGAGGTTCGCAGGGTTGAAGAGCTGCGAGATGTGCAACTTACCCTCAGATGGGAACGTAACTTACCCGCGAAGGATCAGAAACAGATGTGCACGTGCACAACAGGGCGAGGGAGCGATGTTAAGGCAAGCGGGGCAGGTTAGCAAGAGACAAATCCGGATAAAGGATATAAAGGTATCTCTGCACTATTCTTGCAACCTTTCTGAAAGTTTGAAATTATTTCCAAATAAACGGTTTAAAAAGTAATCCTTTAAACCCTGTATTAGAACAGGGTGTAACCCAACATTCCTGGAAACGCAGATATTTTCCTCCATATTTATAGGGTCTTCGTATCACTGGTTCAAAAATGCCAAATGGAGTTTAATTTTTGTTCACATAGAGCTGCTTTTCAGAGAGGTGGGTATACTCAAAATGGGTTATAATCCTCCGGGGGCGGGGGGCTCTGGAATAGCCTGTGTAAGAGGATGGCCCGCTCTGTTCCCAGGCAAGTGGTGGCTGGATTTGGATCATAATTATGGCCGGGCCTTGCTCTCACCCAGAGCACAGCTCGGTCTGGCTCTCTCTGGGCCGCGCCCTGGCCCTGCACAGGGGGGTCTGCTCTTTCCCTGCCTTATTTAGAAGCGTCCCTTCTTGGGAAGCAGTGAGAAGTGCGGGCAGAACATTCTTTGCTGTCAGTCATCCACGTGGCATTTCTGTTCTCCCGTTAAGCAGCAGTCGCAGCACTGGCCGAGCAGCCGGGGACCGGGAGCAGAGGACTGATCCTCACTCCTGCTTTCCTTGCAAACCCCGGGCCCCAGGTGTGGCTTCCAAAAGCTGTGGGCTAGGGTGAGATCAAGGAGCAAAGGGCGTGCGAGGGGCCTGCCCGGGGCCCACAGGCACGCTGCCGCTTCAGTTTCCGGGTTTCCCCAGCGCACATTGACGCAGGTGCCGAGAGGACCGAACGCCAAACATCAAAAATCCCAGTTTCAAAAAGACAGACTCCAGGCGCCTCAGAGGAGGATTCCCGGGAACATCCTGGAGGAGATGGTTACACAGACGGTGTGAGCCTGTGGGAAGAACACAGCGATCGCCGGAGCCAGCACGAGCTCCCAGCAACACGGGCTGTGCGAACACGTCCCACAGGACCCTTTTTAATTAATGAAAATAAATAAAAATCTCCCCATGCATAAGAAGGCTCAGAACTTCTGCTCAAACACTAACAGCTCCTGTCATCACTGTGCGCTCCTGAATGGTGTTAGAAAGCTTCACCTTGTATCAAGTCAGCATCTTGACACAAGGTGTGGTTTTAGGGGGGGCGTAGTGGGTAGGAATTAACTTTGTTATCAGCAATTGTCAGCTTTCAACCAGCAGCAGCTATCCATCTGGAGTTCTGAGGGTGGGCTTGCCCCCTCCTCAGTGCTGTCTTCTTCAAGGGGACACATTGTCTTGTCCTTCCTGTTGACTGTGTGACCCTTAGCTGGGAGGGAGGAGGGCTACAGGACCTAAAGAGGGTGGAGGAAGCAGCAGGCCAGCAGGAATGGGAGCTCGGCCATAATTCAGCGAAGGGGAAAGACCATCACTCTTTCTTCTTGTACCAAAGCTTTATCAAGGTACTAGCACCTTCGCCTCCTGTCCGGGGACTTCAAGGGCACCCAAGTCTCCGGGTCAGCGACGGACAGGGCCTAAAACACATTAGGAAAAGCTGGGAGGACAGCTCAGGAGGTGAGCCACCCCCAAAAGGGAGAAGACACTGTCTATACGCATTGGACGGTGGACCCCAATGCTAGGTGGGAACTATGAGTGTGGCCTTATGTAAGAAAGGATCTTTGCAAATGTCATCAGGTTAAGAATTTCAAGATTCTGGATTTAGGGCGGTCCCTATATCCCATGACAGGTATCATAAGAGAAAAATAGAGGGAGAGTTGAGACACAGACATAGAGGAAGCTATGTGGAGACAGAGGCAGAGACTGGAGTGATGTGGCCACAAGCCAAGGAATGCCAGGAGCCACCAGAAGCTGGGAGAGGCAGGGAAGGACCCTCCCTAGGGCCTTGGTAGGGAGCACAGCCCTGCGACACCTTGATTTTGGACTTCTGCTCAAGTCAGCATCTATGTTAATGCAACTTACACCTGCTGCTCCTAGTTCTGTTCCTCAATCCAAGTGTCTTGTCTGTGTCTTTCAAATATTCAGAGTTTGGTGTTTTTCCCTGTCAGTGCTCCTTCCGTTAGGGTTTTTAGACCCTTCCACAAGCTGACCGTGTGGCACTGCTCACACTCTAATTTGTCTAAGTCCCTTTGAAATGAGATCCAGGAACCAGACTGTGGGCCATGAGGGACTTTATCATATTACCACCATCCAAACATCAAGCACGTCAGCTCTTCCCTCTCTGCCATCTTCATTAGCCATCACCACAAGGACAGCTGTTCAGCAGCATTACCTGGTGCTGAGACAGGGCAGCGCAGGGAAATGAACGACAAATCTGTTCAGCAAGTCCACAGCCTTACAGCTGAGTTTCCAAAACTGTAGATTCAAGTAACTTGCAAGTGAATTTGAATTCACTCTGTAAAAGCCTACTTAGATAACAGAAACAGAGAAGCTGTCCATAGAGCTGGGGGAGCTGGCCGGGGGTTTGCCTCTGGATGAAATGATTTCAAATCCAGTTTAAACCATCATGGATTATCCTGGACCACCTGTAGCAATTCAGAATAAAGCAGTCTGGCAAACTCCTTCCAACTCCATACTCTAAGTACCTGAATGTACACTGGAGACGAAATTTGAGCTTTTTATTTTTTCCCACATTTTCTGTGTTTTTATTTGAAGTAGACAATCGGGTCAGACTAGAGGGACTGAGTTATTATAAAGGTCACAGACAGAGTTTCAGCATTATAACAATGTCAAATAATGACTCTTCTATAGGTAGGCAAGGAGTATTTTCAGAGAGGTTAATTCTGTTAATATAATCATTAATAAATTAGAAATGTTATATAAATATATATATTACTATTGACATCAAATAATGTCAAAAATGATCACTATAGCTATGGCAGGTTAAAATGAACTGAGAAATTCTTTGGCAGAATGTGGTTCTTTCTTGATATAACTGTGGAGATGTTGGCTTGGGCATACGGACAACCATGCAATTCCAGGGAAAAGGGCATCTCTATGGTCTAACATGCCGAGGCCTTACTCCCACCTCCCAAAGGTGGATACACCAGACATGGCAGCCACACTTGGCCTCAGTCATCTGGCCATTCTGAAACTGGATTTCTTTCCCACATACACTCTCCTTTCCTGCCATCTCATGTCCAAGTAAAATGTCATCAACTCAAAACTGCCATAGACAGGCTCTCACTGTGGGATCAGAGGCCTCTGTGGGCCACTAAGGGAAGGCTTCTTATAAGAGGGTTATTTGAAAAAATAATCTGTTGAAGTTTAGTTTTATTATTTCTTTTTAGAAAAAAGAGAAAATTTACAAGATGCAAAGGTCTCACGCAATACATTATCGTTGAGGACTGTTCTCTTTACACCTTACCACAGCCCTGGCTTGGCCAGTGTTGGAAAGAGCATGGATGGCGTGAATGCATTTGAGGCCCATCGTGGACACATGGAAATGAACCACAGCGTTAAAGGAGAATTCAGTGAGAAATGATGTTGGCTCAACCTGTTCCAAAAGTAAGCCAAGACGTCATAGGAACCAACAAAGCCTTCTTGTCGGGGAGGCCCAGGTGTATGCCCTGCTGCCAGGAGCACAGGGCACCCCCCCTGCCCTGGCAGCACTCACTTCCTCCATTAGGCCACAGCAACAAAAGAAAGCGGCCACATTCCTTCCGTGTTTCCTTGTGGGGCTCTTCAGGCTCCCGATTTCTTATTTCTGGCTTCCTTTTCACGATTCAGTTCCAAATTCTTAAACAGGGTAGGTGCTTAGCAACTTTCAGGATCCACTTCTGCCCAATGATAATGTACTAAAAAGAACAAAGATAAGACACATAACTCAGAAGGGTCCCAATATTTGCCCTCAAATCCTATTAAAAGTATTACTAAGTATTAATAAAATAGCTGAAGATACCCGTTTTCAAGTTCATACAATGAAAATAGCATGACAGTGTTTCACTTCACTGTGAAAAATCTGCCATGTTGTCATGTATAAATTCAAATGCCATCTCACCACTTTCAATTTATTAAAACTTCATTCTTAGAGTTCAAAACAATACCAAATCAAATATTTTGGAATTAAACAACACACTTCTAAATGGCCTCTGTCGCAAAGAGAAGTCACAAGGCAAATTAGAAAACCTTTTAAAGTGAACAAAAATGAAAGAAAATGAAAATACGACATAGCAAAATTGAGATACTCACCTAAGGCAGTGCTTAGAGGGAAATTCATAGCATTAAGTGCTTATATTAGAAAAGACAAAAGCTGTCAAGCCAATAATCTGAGTTCCCACCTTAAGGAACTAAAAGAATAAAAGCAAAGTAAACCCAGAACGAGCAGAAGTAGGGGAATAATAAAGACAAGAACAAAAGCGAATGAAATTTCAAACAGAAAAACAAGAGAGAAAAATAAAAAGATCAATAAAATCAATAAACCTCTTGCCAGACTTACCAAGAAAAATGAAGACACAAGTTACAAAGAACAGGAATCAGGGGCAACATCAGCATAGACTTTATAGATGTTTAAAGGGTAAAAAAGCTAGAGCTCAAACATCTTTATGCCCACAAATTAGACAACATAGATAAAATGGTGAATTCCTTGTAAAAAGATACAAAGCCTCATTTCCATCCTTTTAACAATTAGGAAGGCAGAGAGGTGCCAGACTAAAGAAAGCAGAGGGCCAGGGAATAAAGGAATCGCTTGTTCTTGGGATATTTTCGACACTGCCTGAGGTATGGAAGGTTCTTTGGTATAAAATATCCAAGTATCTTGAGTTTCCCTCTGTAATTCTGAGGCTACATCAAAAACCAGCTGGTCTTGCCAAGATCTGTGAGGCAGGTGTTTGTCATCCAAGAGTTCAACTAAATCCCAGCCTTAACAGGGCAGTTTCTACTCCCTCGGATCGAAATTCTAATTGGATGTACTTCAGTAAAAGGAAAAGATTCCGATAACGGGGGGTTGCATGTGGCGGTGCCATGTCTGAAAACACTTCCAGATGCACTTGACACATGCCACATTCTTAAGAAATTAATTGTGAGCAGGTGCCTCAATGGAATTAATATCCTTCTTGTCCCGAGTCCAGCTTGATACTGAGGTCCATGGGCCCACACAAAAAACGCTAAAGGCAGCTGCAGCTAGTCCGTGTTCCTCGGTTCTATCTGGATCCACACAAGAGACTGAAATTTCCCCCAAGGCCTGCCTCATGCTCTGAAACCCACTTGTCAAGGTCCTGCATTACTTCCTAAGAGATATCTGAAAGACCACCGGGGGTAGACAAGATACAACGTAATTCTGGGAACCATATTATGTCCATTTTAAAGTCAAGGAAAGCAACCTATTATTTCCTATGTTTTAATCAAGAGGTGAACCCAAGCCTAAGAACCCAATGTCTATGTTAATGCAATACTAATGACTGAAATCCTGAATCTGGTTCGCACACTGACCTTGGGAGAACTCCCTCTTCTTGGTATAAATTAAAACCTGTTTCTGAACTCAAAATGAGCTCTGGGATCCTGCTTGACTACATTATTCTTTTACACCTACTCCAATTAAATATCCTACAAGTTTTAATGCTTTGGGATGCTGCATGTGTGCTTCAAATATTTGCTGTGCAGGTGGAAATAATAAAGCTTACACAGAAGAATAAATGACCTAGAAAATGTTCATGATATTCCGTTAAATCATAAAAGCAGGTGACATTAAATACACAGTATGTCCCTAACTTTGGAAAGAGATATAGAATTAGCTGCTTAGAGAAAATATTATAAAAGCATTATGTCAATAATTATTATCTTAGTATAATAAGATGACAAGTGACTTTTATTTTCTTCTTTGAGCATTCTATAATAAATGAACATTATTTTGTAATAAGCATAGCTTTTAAAATAAGTTTTGTAAGAGAAAGATGATTTAGGAATTCTAATTCCTTTCTAGAGAATCACAGAATTGGAAGGAATTCTGAGATTTTATCCCAAGGGTTCTCAAAGCTTTTAGGTAAACCACTCAGGCAACAAAACCCCAGATACATATATTGGAGTAACAGCTGCCCTTTGGTCTAACCCCCTTCAGGGTCTACAGTCTGGGAACATGGCTAAAATCCCAGAAGTGGGGGTGCCACAGCTCCTCCCTGCATGAAGAGGCAGCCAGCATGAAGACTCAAAAGTCCCCTCACTTACGTCCATCCACAGCTGGATGTCAGCACCAGCCACCAGGCTCTGCTGTCCGATCTCTGGTTTGAAAAATTTCAAGTGAATCCCTGTCAATAAATGAATGGTTTTCCTCCTGCAATTAGTCAAAAATCCAGATCATACTACATAACTATACAAAAAACAAAATGTGGCCTCTGCATTTCCATGGGCCCATTCAAACTTCCTCACAAGCCTCCATCCTGCTGAGTAGCAGCTGGGTAAGTCTTGAATGCACAGTCGCACTGTCTCACCTTGGTGTCAAAACAGCTCTCTGCGTCCTCAGTGGCCTCTGTGGTCAGGTGGCTGGTGCACACCAGTGAGAGGCCCTCCCTGGCTGACTTGGCCTTACCTCCGCTCTCCCTAGCACCACAGACCCTCAAGTCTCACCCAGGAGGCCAGAAGGGGTGATTTCTAAGATCTGCAGGGACTGCCAGTACTGTTAAGAGATGAGGTCATGACCCCTCTGCTCTCCTGGATGAAGCTGTTCCTTTACATCTTCTAGGGCAGGCTCATACCACCCCTTGCACCCAGACCCATGGTCAGCCCAGTGGACATCCACACAGCTCTCTTCTTTACCCTTCCCATGGTAGGTGACACCCTACATTAACTCCTTCCGTGACCTAATGCCCATCTGCTCAGCTGCAGCACCCCCGTGGAGACCTGGGGCCATCCTGCACAGCAGTCTCCTTCCAGAATCCCCACCAGGGACCAGAGCTCAGGCCCTCACGGCTTCCAGCTTTCGCACCAACTTAACTCCCACCCGAGAATCCTGGCCTGCAACAGGGAGCCAGAACACCAAGTGTGGCCTCTGGTGTCCCCTCCATCTGTCCCTCTCCTCCCTCCCAGTGATTCTTCTAACCTGAGGGCTTTCTTTCACCCTCCCTCCTGCCCGGCCGGGGCTTCTCCCTACAGCATTCCTCTTCACTCACCTCCCCATGTCTTCCCCAGGCCATAATGACGGTATGGGGGCAGTGACCTTGATTTACAGGGAAAAGGAAGGAAAATACATCTGTCTACTCTTTTCAAAACACTGTGTCCCCTGAGTTCACTTCTCCCACTGCTGTGTTCCCTCTCTGGCTAGTTCCTTTTGGGTGTCTTGACAGGACAACAGGACAAGTTACCCCAGGTTCTACGCTACCCAATCTGCACTACTTTCAGAATAAATGCAATTACACTTCTCTGTCACACTGCACGTGTTGATTCCTCTTTATTAAGTGAACATGAAACTGCTCAAGTTAACCTCTACTTTCGCCCCCCGTCTCATTCCTTTTATGCTCCCTCACCTCACTGGGAGGATTCGAGATTTTCTGAGGCTGCAACTCAGTTGCCCCCCTTCTGGCCCACAGCTAAAGGTGCCGGGGCAACTTGTCACTGAAGGAACGTGGTTTCTACTTCTGACTGCAGGTATCGCCTGCTTCGAGTATTTACTTAACTGTTGTCATTCGGGGGAGAGGACCATGCTCCTGAGCAGCACTCCACATTTCTGTCCTCAAATGTCAACGCACTTGAAAACAAACAAGGAAGTTGTTCTGGAAGCTGCCATCTGTTTGCTTTTCCAACCTGACCTTTATCTGAATAGTAAGACATGTCCTGGCTGAGCACATTTCTTCTTAATA